TCTAGTGGAAGGTGTCCCTGTCCGCGGCAGGGAGGTTGGAACTAGATGATCTTCAAGGTCCCTTCCAACTCAAACCAGTCTATGATTCTATGGTTCTATATTTTGGATCTTGCTGGTTTGGTGGTTCGTCTCCATGCTGGTTAGCTCTGAGGCAAAGGTCACCAGTGAGAGTGTCATGATGGTTCATGTGACTCCTGATGTTTTGCACTATAGACAGGCAGGTCCATTCCTTTCTCTTCTGATCCAGATCCCAGACAATAGCATCTTCTCAGCTATTCCAGCTTTCCCCTTCCCTTGAAACTTGTGTTTTATCCTGCACCAAAGTACTATCCAGGGATTGTACTTTCCAGCCCATCTCTGTTCCATCACCTCAACATGGAAAAGCCATTTCAGGACCGTGATTTCATTATACATCATTGATGGGGAATAAATTATTAAAGCAGATTCATAAAAAATGAAAGACATTTTACACAGAGAAGAAGTCCTGACAGTAACCTAGATATGTCACAAAAACTGATTGTCACCAAATAGGAAAACCTGCCCCTTGCCAGAGCAAAGAGGGGTAAACTATGAAAGATGCATGAGGGCAGAAGGAAACACGAAGTGACTGGAATGACAGAGTGGGAGATAAACACATCAAGGTAAAGGAAAGAAAAGAGAAAACACAATGGGGGAAAGAGGGAGTGAATAGAGGTTAAATAATTCAGGTCAGGATTTTTAAGAGCTTTGAAGAAACAAGGGAGTGTAAGTCATCTAGGAATCATGGAGGGAAGAAAAACCAACCAAACCAGCATGCTATTCACAGTATTAAAAAGAGCTGATGGATTTTCTGTGCCATTTGGACAGACCTTAACTAGTGTAGGTCAGCAAGGAGTCAACCCAGTTGGGGGTATTTACACCCTCCTGAGGAATTGGCCCATAAATCAGAAGGGCAAATCCAACAGATGCAATTCCAACAGTTTTGGCCACTCTACACCACGGATGCTGCTGGCTTCAAATCCTAATGGAATGCCCCCTCCGTTCTGCCCTGGTCCTTGATGGATCTGCCTGGCAGCTCTCCCCAGCCACCACGCTCCTTCAGTCACCGCCTCATGAAATGGAAATAACCCATCAGAGAAGGAGCTTTGCAGTTTTAATGCACGTTCATGCCGCTGGTGGGCAAAGCATCTGCCCTGAACTTTACACGTCTTCTCAGCTCTGGGCAATGATTTTCCTTGAAAAATCAGCAAAATTCCTCAAAGCTGTGAAGCCCAGGACGTACAAAGGGTGAAATCCAGTCTGAAACACCCTCCTGAACACTTTCCTTTTCTTTTTCAGTACTGCTGCTGCTCTTCTCTAAGGAGTACGTCCTCCCTGGACCGGTTTTATTACCCAGCTCCAAGACGATACAGAAAACTTTGCTTCCTGCCTCTGTCTCCCTCCATTGCATTTAATATCTGATGTGGAAATATTCCTTTTCTTCCTTTGCTCTAACTTCTGGTCTCCTGTGTCGCTCATATTTTCGCCTTGGCTTTGCTTGCTTAGGGGATTCCCTCCTCTTCCTCAGCCTTACAGATTTGCACCGCCGCGGAGACAAAGCACAGCCAAGGCTGTAAGGATGTACCGAGCAGGCTACGGATAAAAGAAATCATGTAAAATTCAGCTGCATTGAATTAATCTTGCTGGTGGGAGGATAATTCCTGTTAATCATGTCTATTACAGTAATACCTCAGGATAGGCACAAGATGGGCAGAGCACAAAATGAAGGAAACTCCCAGACACAAATACTTTGGAATCTGAAAGGAGAAGCATGGTAGGAAATATATAATGCATGGGGTGGGCAATACGAAGGTTGGTAACTCAATTATTTTTGAGAGTGGGAGGAACCCGAGTGGGACACATTATGTAGGGGAAGAAAAGCTAAATGGAAGGAGAAGAGGAAAGATGTGAGAGTCTGACAATAGCAGTTGACACAGAAGGAAGGGGAGGGAATTATTAGCAATGGAGAAGAGAATCTGGCAGAATACAGAAATGGTTATTTTTTTCTTAATAAACAGTAAACATTCCAGCTTGTGGCAAAATGAAAATTTTGAGGTGAGAAGGGGGAGGTGCTGAGTTAAATCAGAACAATGCGATTCTATACGAAATAAATTTTTTTTTTGGATTGGTTTAAAATATCATACTCAGTCTGGTGGAAAAATATGTGGTTATTTATGAGTTACACAAATAGTTTCTAAAGTGGACATCCTCTGCCTTGATTTGGGTCAGTGTTTAAATCGATTCCGCCGTTTCAAAACCTCCCTCTGTGAAATGTCCCCTTCCTACTTTTTTGGGCAACCTGGTGTAGTGGAGGGTGTCCCTGCCCATGGCATGGGGGTTGGAACTAGATGATCTTTGAGGTCCCTTCCAAGCCTAACCATTCTATGATTCTATGATTCTACTCGGGACACGTTTCTCCAGTTTCCACTGGTGAAATGAAAGTTGATGGCCACTTGTTCTTGCTCTCACCTTGTGCTGAGCTGCTCCAGGGAGCTGAAGAGGCAGAAAAAAATTTCTGTATTTTGGGGAATGTTGCGGTTGGCTTTTCTGCCCCTCCAAGCCAGCTCTCTGAAGATCACATACTGATGGCAGAACAAGCCTTTTTTCTTGCATTTTCCACCATCAGTGTCTGGGTTACTACAAATAATTGTGTATATTGAAAAGATACTTGGCTGACTGGATCTATGGTGCCTTTTTTCTTCAGCTATATCTGATGCCAAGACAAATGATGGGCCCTGAGACATCAGAAACCAACAAACAGACGCCTGCCAGGTCCAGCAGCTCCGGGGATCTGGAGAAAAAACTCCTGCAGGCCACCATCGTCTGGCACTGGAGCTTTGGGCTGGGCTCCTCTCTAATAATTATGCGATTGTAGTAATTATACACCAAAAAAAAAGTTAATTACTTAATCATGTGTAACAAGGACCCTTCAGCTACTGAGCGAGGCACACGCTCGGAGCAATTATTCACAGGCATGTAATCTCCTTCCCTTCATACTGAATATTTCATTAGTTACTATTCACATCTTCTCGGAGGTGCTTTGCAATGGTTCCGTGATTGGATTTACTCTAATTTCTTCTTGGCTTGTACAAACGCTGTTGCTACAAATATTCCTCTGTATTTTATCCCTTTAACAAGGAGGTTCTTTTCAACCTTCCTGTTGCTAAAGACAACTCACCGCAACGTGAACATCAGGAGCTTGAGGCAGTTTTAGGTTCCTGTTTTGCCTTCAAAGAACTTTGGGTGGGTCCCTTTGTTTTGGTCCCGTGTCTGTACAGCTCTTGGCACCCTTGAGATTTTGGCCATCACAGGGTGCCTTAGGGGTGCAATATGAATAGTAAATCATAGAATCATTGAATGGTTTGGATTAGAAGAGACTTTAAACTAGTTCCAACCCCCTGCCATGGGCAGGGACACCTTCCACTACACCAGGTTGCTCAAAGCCCCATCCAAACTGGCCTGGAACACTTCCAGGGATGGGGCACCCACAGCTTCTCTGGGCAACCTGTGCCAGTGCCTCACCACCCTCAGAGGGAAGAATTTCTTCCTTAGATCCAATCTAAATCTCCCCTCTTTCAGTTTAAAGCCATTGCCCCTTGTCCTATCACTTCATGCCCTTGTCAAAAGCCCCTCTCCAGCTTTCCTGTAGCCCCTTTAGGCACTGGAAGGTGCTGGAAGGTCTCCCTGGAGCCTTCTCTTCTCCAGGCTGAGCAGCCCCAACTCTCTGAGCCTGTCTCCATAGCAGAGGTGCTCCAGCCCTTGGATCATCTCCGTGGCCTCCTCTGGACCCATTCCAGCAGCTCCATGTCCTTCTTGTATTGAGAGCCCCCAGAGCTGAACGCAGCACTGCAGGTGGGGGCTCTGCAAGTGAAGGAGATTGGATCTCCTAAAACATTCACTCATTTAAAAGTTCCAGCAACGGCTGGAATCAGTCTGGATTTACTCCTGTGCAGAACAGGGGTCTGTACAGGAGGAGTGCTTATACAGGAGGTGAACTTATACAGGAGGTCATGAACTTGCATTTTCACTTTGCAATACTTGAACGACTTTTCCAAGCCCGAGGCAGTTTCCTTCCGAACTAGACCCAGTAAACCAGACCCTCTGTTTTTGGAGAGCTTTGGAGTTGCCATGCTCCATGGAAGCTGTTCAGTTATCCCCACTCCTGATGAAGTAGCTGCCTGCCATAATTAATTTGGGAAGGGAAAACAGCCTTCTGCTTCAAGTTAACACTTGCAGTAAGCAAAGTAGGACAGACTGTAGGGCTGGACTACATTTCCCATCATGTTCTGCATGTGTCATATGGACATAGGGAACCTCAACCAGGAAAGATGGACCTACAGAACAACCAGACCTGCTAATCCCATGAACCAGCTACATTCCCCCTACATTTCCAGTTTGCAATTTACAATTTTGCAATGAAACATTTTTTTGAAAAATGCTGAGAAGAAATACTAATTCGCCAGCAAGTCTTGGTGTCTTACCCAGCATTTGATCTAAATGGTAAATTGAACAATGTCAACATTAGCAGCCTCAGAGAAAGATCTGAGATGTTCTCAGCTACAACACAATGGCAAGAGGATCTGCCAGATGTTGCACAAGGTGTGTTCCACCTGGCGACATCCAAATGTGAGTTCCTGACAGCGGTTAAGAATTTAGAGGGCATTAAATCTTCCAAGGATTTTTTAGAAGAGCTGCTGATCCTATCAGCTAGGCTTCCAGGACAATCTCTGAAAGCCAGTGTGATACTTCTACAAGTTATGAATGTGAAACTGATCTCTGTGTTGCCCACGTAAACTGGAGAGACCATCGAAACCAGTCATGCTTCACAGCTATGAATAAAGCAAGAACTGGACTCGTTTTTTCTTTCTCTGACTTTACTGAATATAAACCAAGGCACGGACATGCTAACTGCGTTACACACATCCTGGTGACAGCAACTTCTCAGTGCTTGAGAGACAAGAGAAATTGTCGTTCAGCTCTGATCACCAGCTTTATTGTTTGCCAGCCAGACGATGACACATTTCATGCAGACTATATGTTTGCTCCAACCGTCGCTCAGGAGAAAGTGCTCGACGTCACGCGCGTTGGTCCTGCACTAAGGTACTTGGTTCTTGGTCTGTAGCACCAGTATTTTTTTCAGGGGTCCTGGAAGCAGAGAAAGAGCATCATTGCAAAGCTGTCAGAGCAATCGGCTGGAGCTCGACAACAAAACGCCACCCCCGAGTTGGCATTGGCCCCGTGACAAGTGGCTCTGCAGAGCGCTCCCCAAGCAGCCCCTGCATGTTTGGTATGTCCTCAGGATGGTTGGTGAGCCTGGTCCTGGTCCGAAACCCACGGATGTCCACCAAATTGGGAGGGCTGGAGCTCTTGACTTTTTGACCAGCCCCTGGTTCAACTGTGACCAGGACCAGGCCCACCCACCAGCTATGAAAAATGCTTGCCAATTGATTATAACCTGCATCGAACGAGCACCTCGCTGTAAAATTGTCTCACAAAGAAGCAGTTTGGTTCCCTCAAGGTGGATGGTAAGAGCCCTACAACGCAGGGGAGCCGAGCTCTTCTGCTGCTCAGGAAGCACCTGGTGCCTGATAAAACAACCAACGTGAAAGCAAGCCTAGCTAACACATGCTAACCCCCGTTTGAGAGCACCCCTTCTCTTCAATGCCCCCAGGAGACACCAGGAGGTGATGGTGGCACCGAGGCTTGGATGAGCTCTGGGGCCAGCTCTGTCCCTGGGGTAAAAGAGCAGAGGTGCATCAGCCTAAGCACCAAGTTTTGATTATTCTTCATGTTACGGGCAAACTATAGCTCCTGTAGAGTAGATTTTAGGGTAGATGTTGCCAGGAGAAGCTCTGGACAGATGCTGGAGGGAAGGTCAGGTCTGGGGGAAGTGCAGAGGGAGAGATGGGGAAGGAAAGATCTGCTGGGAATGAGGGAATCAATCTTCATTAGGAGAGAGAAAGAGGAGGATCTGCAGGGATGAGGAGAGATGTGTGATGGATAGGGAGGGATCTGTGAGGCTGTAGAAAGCAGATGGAGAGGCAGGAGAAACCTGCTCAGCTTTAAAATGGGTAGCTTTGCACAGCTGTGGCATTACAGGACTGTGGAGATCCCGTTCGTCCCCCAGCCCCAGCCTGACGTGGGCTTTGTGT